TATGGTCATTCACCATGTTTTCTTCCTATGTTTCATGACTCACATGAGATTTTGTTCACTGCAGGTGATTACAGCCATGCTAATATTAAGACCAACGGCATGATTGTGATATGACATTGCTTTTATACAAAAGTTTAATAAACCAGAAGTTAAAGGTACAATATGTAGGAATTTTGTAATAAAATATCCAAAAATCACTTTCACAGTGTGATATGTTTCCTGCAGTTGTGTACTTACAATATCCCAAAAGTCTCCAAAGATTTTTTATTTCAGAGAAATTCCAATTTTAAATAAGTGGCCGTCCCGGAAAAAAATGTCGCCTGTCAATGACGCAATATCCGCGCTATCCTCGGTTTCCGCTCGTACTGCCATAGCCATGACGTAACCATGGCGACAGACGCGGACAACTGCATAGTGCGTAACGTTTAGCTGCACGCTGTTGTTGTTTCGTTCAATCATTATGGACCATGGCAAGCAGACTTTGGGACAAAAAAAAGGAGAACTAAAATGAGGATCAATATCGGCGTGGCGTTTTCGAGATGCTGAGAGCTCCACGTCCGCGACTAACTTGGAGCAACACCGCTCTTGCATATACTTTATTAGACAGGTGAGCAAATGTACATAAAACAAAAGGATGTATCTGTGTTTCCTTGCAACACATGCAACTGTCAATAATATCACTTATAAACAATGCGAGATACATAGTGTCAGGTGTGGTGGAGGTGAAAGGAGCGAGGACTCAGGTGCAGAGATGATGGGTTCTTTAATGATAATAACAAAACAAAAATACAAACAAAACTACCCCGTAGGGGAAAACAAATGACTTGACTGACTTGACCCTGGCTGACTTGACACAAGGGGTAACACACCAGGTATATACGACAACGAAACAGCACAGGACTGCAAACACAGGGAGAATAAATAGGGAGACCAAACAAAGGAGGTAACGAGGGAGGACAGGTGGGGCAGATGATTCAATAATCAGGTAACAAGATGGGAGGGGCTAGACAATCAACAGGAGAGCACATGGCACAAGGAAACATGCATGACAAGCCATGTGCTCACACCAAACGTGACCTGAACACAAGCACATGGCCAGTAAAACCAATCACCAGCCATGTGCTCACACAAAACTAGACATGAACACGCAGCTAATGAAAACACTCAGAAACCACGTGTTCACACAAAACATGACAACAAAAGCACACAGCTAGTGTAAAACACAAGCTGTGTGCTACACAGCACAAGACATGAAAGCACATGAAACAAGGCACAGACAAGATAAAACAGGTGTGTCAGGGCTCTGTCACAAAACCAAGAAATAGACTAGACAGAAGTGACAGAACCCTGACACATAGGCCTTTATGACGTGACAGATCAACCATTATGCATATGTTGATTCACCTCAAAAACTATCAAGTAATTGTTATGCTGATGAAAATTCACCGTTATGATGCGCTTTGTACTTGGGTAATGCTTTTTATCACTTGTGTTTTGACCGAGATTATGGCAGTGCAATTAAATACAATCGGATATGTGTTGTTAAACAATATTTAGCCATTACTTGCAAATGTTCGTTCAAATTTACTCTGAGTACGATTGGTTTGAACACGTAAAACAACACGGCATTAACGATAAACACGTAAAACTGCGCAGCATTAACCCAACAAATAATTTGACAAATAGCTGTAACAGGATAATATAGTAGAATTTCGCGTTCCTTGCAGTTAATTCATTATGGTGACATAAAATATTGCGATAAGACGATAAGTACCTCATCCGTGATCATGATTCATTAATTCCATAACATCTCTGGATGGTGAAAAGACATCTCCCATCGTTCAACTCTCCCTCATGGCGTCACCAAGCTTCGCCTTTGTTATTGTTGGTAACTGCGCCCTCTTGTGGCGAAAAATTCCTACATATTGTACCTTTAATATCGACAAAATTACATTTTTACCTTGTCTGTGTTTGCCAATAAAAACAGTTCTAAACTAAGTCAAAGCAGCAACACACAGTAGTTCCTAATTGAATAAGTGTTATGAAAGAATCAGTGAATAATTCAATGACTCACTCAAAAAGACAGTCCTACTGCATCAACTTCCATTTTTCTTAGTGATTATTATCGCCGATTTTGTTCTCTTCGACTGACTGGATGAAATGGTGCTTTATTTGCAAATATTTTATGCGATATGCGCATGAGTTAAATTCGCAACTTTGGATGGAAACATAGCTAATGTAACCTGCTAAAAGAGTCCTTGAAACATCCCCAATAATTCACACATTGACAAACGCACTTTCATAGCAATTAGAAACTATTTACGTTTTGGCAAATTGGTGTTAATTCATATGAATTTTTTTGTAAAAATTTTTACATTTTCAACTGATCCCAGCACTGAGAGTTAGGTTAAGGGATGTGGTTAGGGGTGGACCTTCACGCTAACTTTTTCCGAAATCGACACCTCGTCAATCAGTTACGTTTTCTCATGAGATTGGGTTGGACTGACAGTCTATCTGGAATGCGGAAACACAGTGAAAAGTCAAAGGTCTGTACATCAGCACTCTGTAGGCCAATCAAATCCAAGCCCCAGAACTAACTGCTGACCTGCACTGTACACGACACAGCAAACATAAACTCAGCATTTAACTCCTCGTGTAGCTGATAAAAAAGTAAGAGCTGAGTGCTTATAACATGTACAAGTGCACCGATGGAGGTGCAGCCTCTGTCTATGAGGATAGTCATTAAATATGCAGGAGAAAGCCATCACAGAACAAGAAGCCATTAGAACCTCGTGGCTTTCTAAAATATTCATAAGACCAAACAGAACGTTCCATCCTTAGCTCAAAAGTTTATAAACACAACACCGGAGAGAGATACGATGTATCCGGGATGCACGTCACTCTTTCTGTCATCTCTTTCTTACACTTGACCTCTTTCACTTTGTTCCATTAGTGCAGATATACATAAATGGACCATCAGAAAATAACTCAACAGATACTTTAAAAGTTGGTAGAAACTTTTGAGCCCTTTTCACTGATCTAGGATGAGCTTGAACCACCATAAGAGGACAGTTTCCTGACTTCAACATCATAGTGGTGTTTTCTCAGAAGTAAAGAGAGGAAATGGTGGTTGATTCCATTAGACTGCATATACATTAGTGTGTAAGGTGGGTACTAAAGCGATACTGTAAAGAGCTGGACTACACATCCACATCATCATCAGTTATCATCAAACACTTAAGCGTGCAGTGGAGCTGAAGGACAATAACCGCATTAAGGCTGCCTCATGACCTTTATAGATTCAATTATATTTATATTAGCAAAACTACAAAGCAGATTTTTATAGTTTCCAAGAATGTTTTGAAAGAAAATGCATTGTCAAGAGTATTTCCCAGAAATGGGTTTGCTCATTTATCTTGACTGGAACATAGAGAGCACGATGGGAAGAAATCCATTGGCTGCGTCTCAAAATTTTGCGAGCTGCCTATACCCAGACAGGATTTTTGGCCATCATCAACACATTCAGACATTATGAGGTGTTTCCATTAGCTTTCCAGAGATCTCAAAAAGTGGCATGGCAATGCCAAAGTCTTGGTGATGAAGTGAGCAAGTCACTATCCGCATATTCACGTCTTAAGTGCTATCTAACATCCGTCCTGCATTTATTTGATCAAAACTCCAGAAAAAAAACCCCAGTAATATTGTGAAATATTATTACAATTTAAAATAATGGTTTTCTATTTTAATATACTTTAAAATATAATTTATTCCTGTGATGCAAAGCTACATTTTCAGCATCATTCCTCCAGTCTTCAGTGTCACATGATCCTTCAGAAAAAGATTTCTATTTTAAATAAATGCTGTTCTTTTTTAACTTTTTTTCATCAAAGAATCCTGACAAAAGTATCACAGGTTATAAAAAAAATAATATTAAGAAGCACAACTGTTTCCAACACTGATAATAAATCAACATATTAGACTGATTTCTGAAGGATCATGTGACAATGAAGACTGGAATAATGATGCTAAAAATACAGCTTTGATCAAAGGAATACATTTTATTTTAAAGTATATTAAAATAGAAAACTACCATTTCAAATAGTAATAATATTTCTTCTGTATTTTGGTCAAATAAATGCAGGCTTAATGAGCAGAAGAGACGTCTTTCAAAACCTTTATTTTATGTAATGTTTCCAAACTTTTGACCGGTACTGTATATAGAAGTACTTCTGTCAAAAAGTTCAACTAATTACATTTAATGTAAATTTAAACTATAATAGATTTTCATGTAGCCTAAGTAATCATAAATAACACGCAATTGAGTGTCCGAAAAAAAAATACATCACGTTCACGCTTATATTAAGTAGCCTACTGTTTTTGTAAGTATGCTGAAGTGTACTTCGATTTCACATGTGCTAAAGCTGCTGTCAAACCATGTGTGTTGTGAAATGAGCTATTCAAATAAAAGTGACTTGACTTTACTGATGAAACATCCTTCCCATAGCAAATAGTTTTCCATCAAAGACTTTTTCAGTAATCCTCCATCACTTTGGAAAGAGAGATGAGACATATATGCCATTACCTTACATCATGTTTATGTTCACAAACACTGCAAATTAAATTACACAGCAAAAAAATATCCAACAGTTATAGGCTATGTTCAGTAATTCTATTAGGCCTAACGTTATTTATAAATGAAACACGTTTTGCACATTAATCTTTCTCTAGTAGGCTACAAAGAAAGTCAAGGGCGTAACTGTTTAACAGTCAACCCAGTGACGGCAATAATGAAACGAGCAAACCATAACCAAAGCGTCATCACTCCCTAGGCGTCTTCCACCTAAACAAACACGAGTATACAACTCAAAGAGGCCAGTAAACAAGAAATTGTCAATTCAACACGTTTAATAAGCATTTTGTCCTCTCGGCATGTTTATAATCGCAGTAAAGAGCATCGCATCACTGAGCGCGCGCACACCGGAGCACACGCTCGCGCCTACCTGGATGCAGCACGAGATCTCGGAGTCGTCGAGCAGGCGAACCGTGCACTGGACCTCCTGCGCGAGGGAGGACATGCTCGGACTCCGAAATCGAAGCATTTTCATGGCTCTTGGTTCCGCATAGCAAAGCAAAAAAAGCGCCTTTGGTTTCAGTGAGGACGGCGTGTCGGTTACGCGTCGCTTATGTCGCCAGCGAAGAGGAGGATATGAGATGTCGCGTTATATGACCGGGAGAACGATCCCCCTTTTCTTTCTCACCCCTCCCTCCTGAACGCGCGCGCCTCTCTCCATCAGTTCAATCACATCAGCGATATCAGCGGGCATCACCTGTAATGAACAACTACACACAATGTGTTGCCATAACAACGGGAGTTACAGGACAGTTTCCGCCTGCAAATTAATAGTTACCACTACTAGGCTATATTGTCCTAGCCTACAGCAAACCCATATGGGAAAATAAATTCACATGTGATCGAGCTTTTAAAATTATTTCTATATTTCACCGCGTGGTTTATAGGGAACAGGGGTCTCAAACTCAACTTAACTGGGGGCCGCTGGAGGTAGAGTCTGGGTCAGGATGGGCCGCATCAAGTATTCCACAAAAAATAGTATTCAAGTATTCCAAAAAAGGAGCACAACTGATCCAATCTTCTCAATCTTTATTATTAACGTTTCTTCTGAACTGTTCCTCTGAATTTGAACATTCCTTTCTGTACATGATTGGTTCTTCATGAGCTGTCCTTCTGACAGTTGAAGTTAATTTTACAAACTTTCTTTGTCTATAACACATATTTGTAATATTTATATTTGCTTATGTCCTTTTTATTTTCTTTATACAACACATTAATGATATTGAATGTTTTTTTTGGAAGGCACATTTCCTTTTATTATATACTTAGAAAAACAATTATTGCTTTTGAAATACAAATATTTGCAGTCATGTCTGCCCGTCTTATTGAATTCTTTCTACACATGTATAGTGTCTCAGGCAAATTACTGACTGCACAAATCAAAGCAAACCTTCTTATCAACCTGTTAGACACATATTACAAGCTCAAAATGATTATTCTCACATTGTTTTAAAGCAGGGTCTCTCTCCAACACGTCGCTCGCGAGCTACCAGTAGCTCGCGGCCTGGTTGGTGGTAGCTCGACAAGGGGCCGTTCACATATCGCGCTCACATATTTTGCGAGCTCAAGTTCGTTATTTCAAATGTAGGTGCGCGTGCGCGGCAAGCGCGCTCATAATTGAAGCCACGCGCTCATTTTTTCCAGGCGCGCAGTATTTAGCGGTTGTCTATGGCAACTATTGACAACAAACCCACCGTATGGTAGCCCATTTAAAACGCGGCATACGCAACGACGGGCCGCACTAACATTACACTTTAATGTCAAGTAGGGGGCCACAAAATATCACCCCGCGGGCCGCAAATGGCCCGCGGGCCGCGAGTTTGAGACCCCTGAAAGGCAGTAGGCTACCTTAAGAAAAATGGTGTATGATTGCAGAAAAAAATATACAGTAGCCTATAATAATGTTTGTATTGCACATTGATGGAGCGACAGATTTTGTATGACAATAAATCATAAAAGGGGTTGATTTTGTTTAAAATATGATAAATGTACGAGCTCATGGGGCAAAAGGCACACGTTATTGATACAAATACTTTGTCTATTTACAAAAACCTCTGACTCCTCTCGCAAAATGAAACTTTCGCCTCAAAACAGTTTTACCTGTGTTCAAAATTCAACACTGCTCTCAAACAAAGTGATCAAAATGATATACACTATCAAGCAGTCAGTAATACACCAAAAAAAATTGAAAACACATTGTTCAAAACATAGTTCTCAGGGAGAAGTACATTTTTTATCTCAAAACAAATTTTATATGTTTCCGTCATTGTCTTTTGATGAACGAAAACATGTTCTATAGTAGCTCAAAATTGATCAGAAATTACTAGGTAGGCCTACTCTGCTGTGCTCTTTGCAATTTTTTTTTGTTCTTCCTCCTCCTTGTACCCCTATTTTTACAGTAACCTACTGTATACCCTGCATCTCACAAACTTGTCCTTTGTCTCTGTGATACTGTAGGCTAATTCTTGTTCTTTGTTGATATGAACCTGCAACCAGTCAAAATCTATTGAGCAGTCAGTACTGTCAACAAATGGAAAGCACAATGTTCAGGGTCATACAATTTTTTTCTTGTACAGTATACAGCCTACAATGCACTGTACTACAGTATACAATACTAAAAGGGACAAAAATCAAAGGAGTAAACATGTGATCGATGTGCTTCTTCTTGTCTTTGGGCTGACTCAGGCCAGAGCATTTCGTCAACATCACAAGCAATATTGTCCCTGAGGCAACGGGGGAAGAAGCCTCTTGTGTGCCGTATCCATCCCTGACATGATTCCTCACCTATATCACCACAGGCTAAATCCATGCTTGCAGCAGATTTACTCTGGTGTAGGGTTGTCTATCATATACTTTCCATCTCCAAGAGGAGAAAAACTCCTCAATCGGATTCAGGAAAGGAGAGTATGGAGGTACAAGTTCATTGATGTTAAACCCCCTTGAGCAGCTCGGTGGAAACTGACATTGTCCCACACCATGGGAATGGGATTCTCATTTAGCTCTTGACCCTGCTGCTCTTGAACCTGCTGCTCAAATAAAATATCTCTGAGATTGGCAATAAATCTTAGAAGGTGCTGGGTGTTATATGGCCTGAGTGTAACATGGTGATGTAGAACACCATGGTTGCTGATAGCAGCACAGATTGTGACGTTGCCATCTCGTTGACCAGGGACTTCAACAATGGCCCGCATGTTTCGGCCTCACCTTCTCCTCCTCCTCCAAATGATATTTTATTATATGATAATATGGTTAATTACTGTGCCTTTCACCCCAACAGCAGGGGCTCCTTTTACCCAAAATACTTTTACATAACCTTCCGTTATTGAAAAACTGTTGCTTACCTTGAAAAAACTGAAAATCATTTGTCTCAAAATATATCGTCAATCACTTTAGCGATTCTCATTTGCTACTTCCACAATATTTTAAAAGACATCAAATATTAGATCATTAGCAAAGAATCTGATTTCTGCCGTTGCCCGCGATCGGATCAAGGATCAGACAAATTTCCACGTGCATCTTGAAAAGCAGAGGTTTTAGAAAGTGCTGCGGCAAGTTTTTGTGCCATCTAGTGATTTAGATGAAAATAAAACCATGTGCTTTTTTACCCCAGTGTGCCTTTAGCCCCGTTGTACCCTACTATAAAGTCACAGGTTTTACTGTGGTAATAAACTCTGTAGTATGCAATTTTGGTGGGAAATATTGTGTAAAAATAGTACAGTTCTTAGTATGGCTGTAAAATACGGTAAAAAATATTTTAACTATTAAAATGTAAATTGCTGCATATTATGGTATTTCCCAGCTAACAGGAAACGTTCTCAGAACTATGAATAACGTTCTGCCAAGGTCTCTCAAAGTTATGAACAAATGTTCTTCCAGTAACGTTAATGGAATGTGTGTTCATACTTATACTTCAATAATGTCCTCAGAACATTAGCATAAAAACTTTTAAAGGTTTTAGTTGAATGTTCATCTAACGTTTTTTAAATGTTACTCGTTTCAAAACATTCAAAAAGTAATCCCATGATGTTTGTAAAATGATAAAATGGAATGTTCCCTTATTAATGTTTTTGCTAGCCTTCGCATAAACAAGAAAAAACCTTTTTTAAACATTCTGAAAACATCCATTAATGACATTTCCACAACTTAATTGGAACATCATCAAAGTGTTCTTAGAACATATTTTTGTTAGCTTGGTTAATACTGAGTAACTTACATTTTAGACACAAATATTTAGTCCAAATATGCCTCCTTTTCTATATTACATGTGAAAAGCAGTACATGAAATATGACAAAATGGTTAAATGAATAATTCAATGACTCATTCATAGACATATAAAGATTGATTAAGACTTGTCGCCACCTCCTGGCGCAGTGATGTAACCTGCAGAAAGAGTCACTGAAAAATGCCCAACGCTGATGCACAGACTGAGTGTCTAGAACACTGTATTTACACACTACATGAGTACATTTTGAGAAAGACTAATGAACATGTAATATATAGCCTACTTATTACCTGTACTATATATATATATATATATATACAATATTGGCCATTTAGGATACATTTATATAAGATCCCCGTCAAACAGATGCTGTTAGAATCATGCTTTTAAACCAATATTAAATATACATTTAAACAAATATCAATAAACAATTTCCAAAAAAGAATATACCTTCAATGTACCTTAATAATCCCAAGCACACATATAAACATAAAATATCTGAATATACTGTATATCAAATTAGATCACATGTACAGTGATTAAATGTGTCAATTTCAATGTTCTCTTAATTTTTATTATGTGATTGTCTTAAAGTATATCCCACTGATCATTATGGATTTATTGAGCGAAGTAAACGGGCTGAAGACATTCATTACACAACAATACTTAGTAAGAACGGAATAACAGATTATTTCATGCATAAACAACTAACACACTATGAAAAATAAGATGAACATCTTTATTCAAAAGAATTCAAGAGTGTATGCCTTTCTTTGTTAGTGCACAGAAGTAGATTTATTCTACAGTGAAGAACACATGAGAAGATCATCTTCTGTTGCTATCATAAGCTACTGTGACCAGGCTAACAGAACTATGCAGCAATAAGCAGGAATACAAAATGCCTGTATGATGGTGGAAGTTTGGTTAAGAGTGTATGTGGTGTTTTTGAACAGATATTAAAAGAAATTAGCAGCTTGACAAAAGGAGGTGGAACATTCAAGCTGTCCTTTAACATGCCTCTTCATACATCCCCTTCTGATGCTTTTTTACCCTTCCGGTTCCCCTGTAAAACAAGAAAATGCAAACATTGTCAATTAAAATATTGGTGATGTCATGGTTTTTTTCTAGAATGTGACAGTCATTGCCGGTTTGGATGCATCATACCTGATGTTTCGGTTGCTCTGACTGTAAGCCCTTCACTTTTGACCTCTCTTGCTCCAGGGCTGTGTGTAACTGTGTCACCTTAAAAAGGGGGAAGCAAATTTAGGTATGCACAAACCATCACAACACTAAGATTAAGGCTCAACCTCCAGGGTACAGCACGCACCTGCGAGGACAACTCCTCTTTAATGTTCATGAGCTCCTCCACCTGCAGCAGGATTTCAGCTTTGTCCTTCACTGAATATAAAGAAAGTTATATAAATAACAAGAATAAATGCTTCAGTCTGTCAGGTGCGTTTGCTGTTCTGCACTCACTCTCCCCCTGTTGAAGCATTTTAAGCAGCTGACCGTTTCTGGCCTTCACTTCCTTGTATCTTTCCTAAGGAAGACAGCAAATAATCAGTAAACAGACAGATACTCTTAATCACACTGAAATCGTCAGCTGTTAATTTAGCATTAGTCAAAACGACAAGCCACAAACACATTTCACAGACAGGAGAACATCAAAATCTTCAGAACAGTTATTTACTAACGTAATATTCCTAATTCACCCAAAACGTCTCATGTCGATTATTGCCCTTGAGATTGTACTGGTCATTATTTATGTCAACTAAAATAATTCACATTAAAATATAACGTACGCAAGGCCGTAACCAGGGTTTGAAAATTAGTGAGGTCCGGGGTGTTGTGTAAAGAATTGTGCTATAATAATGGTTAGGCCATTGGACCCATTCCCCCATGGACATTAAGCTGTGACCCTTTTTTTTTTTTTTTTTTTAGGAATTTGCCATATATATATATATATATATATACAGGGGTTAAATTTGGATTTAATTATGTGTGGGGTAGTCTCTCACTAGGGTGGTCCGGGGGTATGCCCCCCCCCCCCCGGGATTTTTTTTGGAAAAATAAACCATTAAATGGCACTTTCTGGAGAGTTTTGTGCAAAGAAATATAGAAAAAAAGTAGGTCTAGCAAGTCTTATATTTCTGTAATTCACACAGATCAAAACACAAATATGCTGGCTGAATAGATTGCTAGTTACTGCTTTAATTAATGTTTTTATGATGACTTTGTGAAAGGTTAACTAAACAGCATGAGCCGTCTTCCAGATGGCCAGTAAGTTATTTGGCAGATTTAATTCTGTAACATATAGATCTGTATTATGCTATTGTTTTTGATAGTGTTATACATTTCTTACAGATAATCACGATGATCATTGCGTTTGTTTTACCGAATGTGGTAGCTTTATGCAATTACAGTTTGTCTATAAGCTTTTTTTTTATTATTAATGCCGACAGTAAAATGTTGCCAGATATTGCTACGAAAAACAAGCAAAACAAAACAAAACAAAATAATAATAATAGTAATCCGAAATAAATCCAAAGCTTGTGTTTTGGAAATAAGATTAATATATCACTAACCCTAACACACAACTTTCCACTTTAATAACTTCCTAAAGTGTCACATTAAATCAGAAAAACAGGTCCAGAAGACTACTGCCACCTTTCCATTAGTGGATCTGGCAACATGGAGGCTGCACTCGCGCCCTCACTCACAACGCGCTCTCAAGCCCCGTTCACTGCGCTAGCTTCTCGCAGCAACATGAATTGCAAACACTCATATGAGGTGGTTTAAACACAGCTAATTAATCATTCAGAGAGCTTGACATTTTATTTTTGAATGTAAAGAAATGACCGAGGTCCAGACCTCGGTGACCTCATAGCTGGCTACGGCCATGCGTGCGTGGCAAATGCAGGCCAAATTATTTATGTTAATCACTTTAGTTCAACATGAGTTCTGCACTCAAAATCAGTTTTTTGAGCTTGTGACGTCACAACATGCAACAAACCCTGGGGTCATAGTGCACAGAACGCGATTACGTCTTTACGTGATTCATTTGTGCAGACTCAGAGTGTGAAAACAACGCAACAAGAGCATGTTGGAGGCTTTATCTGAACGTGTAACGTCTAATTATTGAGCTAGCCATTTGGGTATCAGTTTCTATCGGCTCTTAAACAGAGACACGCAAAGGGTTAAGATCCGAATATGCCAATGAGAATAAAAATCATGCCACACTGCATCTCTCATCACAACTTCTTACCTCCCATTGTGAAATTGTCTTTTTCAACTTTCCAATTTCCAGGTCTTTCTTTTCCAGTTCATATTTTAACTGCTCAGTTCTCACATCCTGAGAGTTTTGAGAAAGAAAACAAGAGCAACAGTTTTGGTGTTGTACTGAGCTACATTCTACATTATGGTACATCGGACGACAAATTCTGCACAGGTTTTTCTCCTTTATCTGGGTGAAAGACTGAGTGAGGTCTGACCTGCTCCTGCTCTGAGGAGCTGTTGACCTCGTGACCGGCGCTGTTGCTGTACTGCTCTCTGCGTTTGTCACGTTGGACGATCTTGCTCACATCATCCTCTAGCTGGTTAAAAAACTTCTCATCACGCAGTGCAGGATTCACAGGCTGAAAAAATAAACAGGAAGAAGTCAGTATCACTAAGTCAAGTGTTCACTAATATCATATAACACACTTTATGATAATTTATCAGAAGTGGAAATCATGAAGAGTTTACAAACAAAGCACCCCAAATAAGCCAATCCCCTTGCGAGGGACCCACATCATAAAATATAAGGACAGCTGTATATTTCCATATATATAAATACATTTACACCAGTGTTGGTATTGTTGTCTAATACCAAAACTATATAAAAAATAAAATAAAAAAAAAGCTAAAATAAAATTAAACAAATATTAGATGAAAATCTTAAAAAACTTAAATGATAATTAGAAATGCTGCCTTGGCAACAAACTGAAATTAAGTGCGTTTAAGTTCAAAAAAGAAGTACAAAACTTGCTAAAACTGAAATAAAAATATAGAGCCAGTGTTATTTTTGTATTATTGAGATTATATATATATATATATTATCTATTTATTTTTTGTCAATGTTTTTGTCATTTTGAATAGTTTTTTTAAACGCCTATATAATTTTATTTTTTTTATTACAATTTATTTTTAGTTATTTTAGTTCAAGTTAAATTAAATGAACATGAGAAATCTAGTTTAAGTTTTATTTTATTTTATTGTATTTCAGTTAATGTTTATTTTACCTGAATTAACGTTTTTTTTATGATTTTAGTTTCAGTTTTATTAAGCACATAAAATGAAACTACAATTTAAATAAACTGAAAATATACCAATAAAAGCTCATTCAAAAATATGAATAAATACTACAATTACATAATAAAAGATGTATACTGTATGAGAAAAACATTAAGTGTGATATTACGAAGACAACATTTTTCTAAAATTAAGCTATTATAAATAATTCTAAGTAATTAATGTCGTCATTGGACCAAAGTCAAAGAAAGTTAATTTATAATTAGAATATTATCTGGAGAACCTTTATTTTGTATTAAATTGACACTATATTTTTCTACTCGGAGTAATATAAGATTTATAAACTCATTTATGACCAGTTTTTGTTAATGCATTAAATATATTTAATTAATATCTTAAGGTAACACACAACTTTGACAGCCCTAAAAATACATGCAGTAAAATTCGTTTTCTCTCATGTTTCCTGTGGAGTCCCCTAGTGGCCCTCTGGCTGTCCCAGACCCTCGGTTAAAAAACTCCTGATCTAAATTACACCGAGAATTAAGTGTTTATTTGCAAACGGTGTTTGCTTCAAATATATAAAACTTTATATTCAGGGTATATAATTACTCATCAGTCCCATCGTGCTTCAGAACCGGAGTAACCCACTCTCCCCTAAGCTTGTGTGTTTCATACAGACACTCACCTCTTTGTCAGGCTTCTTACTCTGCTGATCTGCAATAGAGACAGTGAGTTAGAGCGGACACACAGCAGTGTAGTAACAGTGGTCTCTCTCGATAAGAATATGGCGTTCTCACCCTCATGCTGGAAGTCTTTGAGAGATACAGTGACTCGTTTGTCCTTCCCCTGCTGATTCTTCTTCCTGTCCTTCTTTCCTCCCGCCTTTGTCTTCGGTGACGCAGTCTCTGTTTTTTCAGGATCCTTGAGAAATTATAATATTAAAAATTAAGAATCTCGCAAACGATGAAAATGATCAAATAAGTAGGGCAATAGTTTCCATTAATAGTTTCATAATCAATTGCAGTTATATTCTATTATACAAGGTATTATTGACCATTTAACTTCTAATATACCACTGTAACCACAAGAGGGAGTAGTTACACTTGTCACTACATTTTAAAGAGCTAGAAATGAACCTCCACAAGAATGAACATGTAGGAGACTGGTGTTTCCACTCGGTTCCTCAAAATACTGTATGACATTAACCCTGTAAAGCCTGACAAAGGAAATGATAGTCAGAAAAAAAAGATTGTATGTGTTTTATGAGTATCATATTTGAAACCTCAGTCTTTTATGGCTCATATAATATGATATAGGAGAATACAAAGCTCATCCTCTGAATGAAACTTTTTTAGTTTTTAGTTAGGTAGGTGCTGATATTTATATTTCACTTTAAAAAGTAAAGTGAAATTCTGATACCTTGTCATGTAAATCAATGAAATCTTTCTAACATTATATCAGACTACTTACATAAAATGTTTATAATAAAACTTTTCAGTGTCAAAAAGCTGTCACTTTATATCTCCCAATAATATGTCTTAGTAAGATATTATTTAAATGCTTAGTTTTATGATCAAAGTTCTGTAGTTGTTATTGTAGAGGGCAAAACATTTAATATAATGCAATATAACTATGATTGAGAGATGAACAAATATGTTCCTCAAAAGCCTGTTGTATCAGATTTGATATTCACATTTTAACATGATTTTTCTAAAAAAAGAAAATGACATGGATAATCAAGTAAACCTAAGTTGCTTCAGTCCAGTAAATGTTCTTCTTGAAATATCACTAACAATATAAGTTATTATTAATATACAATAATATATATAAGTTATTTTTACATTTACTTACTAAAAATCAGTAAAGATTTCACATTAAAATATCACAAGCTGAAGGGGGGAGTGTTTACAATTATATTAAAAAACTTTTACTTGCTAAAAACGTATAAACTATCAATCAGACAACAGAAGAAATGTAGAAGATTGAGTGCAAAGGGTTTTTCCTCAAAGTTTGACCTATGATGATACATTTGGAGGCCTTTGATTGTATAGAATATTTGATTGCATACTTCTAGTAGTTTTGCATGGCTATGTCCATCCCCACTCATTTTGATATCACGGAGAGGACCCCCGCAGATTCTGTGTCAAGTTCATTAAAGTTGTGTCCCGATTCACATACTTATGCACTATTCTAAGCTTTTGTAGTATAAATAGTGCGAGTAGTGTGTTCACACTGACAAATTACAACAAGAAAAAGTGCACTTTAAATCTGTGAAAGACACACTTATTTAACAATTTTTTTTATAATAATCAGTGTGGAATGTTGGACACTTCATGCACTCAAATGTCCCAGCTTTAATCACGTAGCGGAAGAGAAAGGGCGACCAGACCCCGATGTTAGATGAGTACATCATAGACTACACTAGATACGGGGTTCCCAACCACGTTCACAACCTTTGAACTAAACCGCTCAATTCATATGGATTAGTTTTACGATCTCTTTATGGACATTTAGAAGCGTCAAGAGTGGTAGTTGCGTAGCTGTCAATGGAGGGACAGAATTCTCTCAGATTTCATCAAAAAGATCTTCATTTGTGTTCTGAAGATGAACAATAGTATTATATGTTTGGAACGGCATAAGGGTGAGTAATTAATGACAGAATTAAACATTTTGGGTGAACTATCACTTTAATAATTATTTGAAACTTAGCAAACTGGCAGCTCCAGTAATAAGATTTAAAGATTTATCTTGAACTCTGTCATGTAAACTATATATAAACCTTAATTAAACAATTTAATAATCAATTAAAAAGGAATTTATACCTGTGCCGTAAGGTGCCAGTGCCATATTGGGACATTGGCGACTTAACTTTTTTCTACAATGGAAGAGAGTGAATGTGCGTCGTCCATCTTTTTTTTACAGTCTATGGCGTTGAGTGTACATCAGTTGTACACTCGTTATTGCGGTGCATTGTGGGATTGAATGATTGGACTCGATAATGTCCACAATGGTTTAGGACACCACTACTAATGGCTGAAATGCCATTTCGGACACAGCCCAGCAAAAGCAGTGTTGGGGGGGGGGGGCTCCAGGTACGTGATGCGCCTGCTGCACTCATGGTACGGCAGTAAAGTTTCTTGATTATTACGCAGGAATGAGAGTAGAGTTCCTAGCCATATCAGCCTATAAGATCCCAACTTTACATTTTCCGTCGGTCTTAGTGCACGATGTAACTACAGAATAGTCAAGTTTTAAATAGGAAAAATATCGAAACACTTTGGTCATTTTTTTTTTAGAAATGCTAATGGTCTTGTCCACTTCAATGATGTATGCTAAGCTATGCTAAAAGTGGTACCGCCAGAACCGGAGATCGGCTGAATGGATTCAAAAACGGTAAAACTCAACAGTTTACCTCTGGGGGAGTTGTAAAATGAGCCTATTTCCAAAAAAAGTGGAGTATCCCTTTAAGTCTTATCCTGTTTATACAGTCAATTCAATAGAATTAATTCTTTTTCGCATCTTTTGGCGCTTTTCCATTACCAGTACCAGCTCGACTCGCCTTGGCTCGCCTCGGCTCGCTTTTCGCTCCGTTTTCCATTGCAGAAAGTACCGCCACAAATAGTACCCGGTCGTCATAGCGACGCCTTTCGTTCCTCGTTGCCCCATCAAGCTCTCGCTGGATCCTCTCTTCAGCAACCAAACAAAGGAATGTCTGCACCTCCTCGTTTGACCACGGCGTATTCTTCCGAGTTGCCATAATAATAGTAGTAAGTTTAGTAACTATCTCTGGCCAAACTATTTAAAAATGACGGGGTTATTCTGGATACTCCGTCTGGCGCGTGCAATGATGACGCAGTGAATAGTGACGATTCTCTCTGACCAATCAGCAGTCGGGATTGTTTTCACGTCACATTTTAGTATCGCCTTAGCTCGCTTAGAACCTCGCCGGAGGTGGTACGAAAAAAAGTACCCGAAAGCAGGTACAGGTACAACTTTTACACAGTGGAAAACCAAACAAAGGCGAGTCGAGTCGAGCCGAGCCGAGCTGGTACTGTGTAGTGGAAAAGCGCCATTACTGTGCTTCTGCACACTTATATGCACACAAAGTTATGTCAAAACGCCTGTCTCAGTGAGTATTGTTGGGAGGTGTCAGTATATTGGATCTGAGCATTACATCTTAAAGTGACAGCAGCCTAATAAACCTGCTGCTGTCTGTGTCCTTAATGATAATTAAACTACAAAAGAAAAAGAGAGAATGATTCATTGCTCTTGACTGAGTAACTTTAATAATAATCATTAATATTTAATGCATACAGTGAAGATTTTTTTTTTTACATGTATTACTTTATTAAATGTCTGTAGTATGCTATTTTCTGTAGTGTACTGTATAGACTTGAATGAAAACGGTTTATTTCATTGCATTTTTGATTAATATATTTGTCCTTTAGCTTGTAATAGACTGTTAGACGTTTACCTGCATTCAGTAAGCTTGAGAAATTTTTACTTTTACTAATTAGTTTTTGCTGTTGTAATAAAATTATTATTTTTTAAACATGGTGGCAGCTTCTAGTTTCAAAGAAAAATAATGTTTCTAACATCTTTAAAGCAGTAGTTCACATGGGTCAAAATTCAAAAACAACAATAATAAAAAAAAATCCTTAGTGTTTCATATACTAATTCCTATAGCATTTAACTATGATAAATATGGAAATATACAGTAATTATATGCAGGCGTAGCTCATGTATATAGACAGGCAGGACAAAGCCCTGTTCTGTTCTCAACTTGAAAACAGAACTATACAATAAACTTCCAATAATGTAATTTGTTAACCAAACAGTTTTGATTTGGCCCCGAGTTATGGAAATTACATGTAGGACCTTTATACACAATGCATGCCATTATAAAGACTGTAGGTTTTTCCTCTCACAGCCTCATTTTCATCCACCAACCCTGACTAAGTTCTAACCACCTGTCAAATAAAACCCACACAAAATACACAGCCTCAAACAGAGAGAAAAGATGTGCATTTTCAACTCTTCAGGCCCCAATGAGCTGTTCCAATTCACCAAGTGACCACCCACTGCCTTGAATTCATACATTTGGAAAAGTCAAGTCCCACCTGTGGCGAGCAGGACAGGGCTGAGAGCAGTGAGAACGGTGCGAGGCCAGTGGAGCGATTGCTAATGAGCGTCACACACCGGTCTCGAGTGTCTCACGGAGGAGCGACAACGGTGAAGGACGTTGTGTTTAGTTTATGTTTGTGCGACAGTCATCCGTGACGGGCTGCCTCTTTACTTTCGTTTTGTGTTTCTTATTTAAGTGTTTGAACGTTCCCTGGTTCCCGCCGCCTCCTTCCCTGAACACTAACCTCGTTACACCGTCCTATAGCTTTTTACATTCGAAAAGCTGTTTCACACAGAAATATGTCACAACACAGAAATCAGTCAGGTCATAACTTCCATTACATGACTAAGTTTGCTGAACAGGATCCTAATTATGAGATGACGTGAAATCAAAAATCAAAATGGCAATATGCAATAGAGGTTTGCTTTTGTTACATTTAAAATTGTTGTTAGGGTTTTTTTTAGATATTGACTTAATGAAATACAATTGTTTAGTTGGACTCAGACTGCCACTTTTGGACTCTATTCGACTAAGGTGGACTTAGTTATTAGTTTTATCTTGATGGTTGCATGAGATGACATTTTTAGAGTCAGTAAAAATGTACCTTTTTATGTTCCTCAAATTCCAATTTACTCAGCATCAAGGCCTTCTCCAGATCTGCCTCATACAGGTCACTGGTCAGCTGTGACGAACACAAACATGAACATGTTTGCATAAAGCAAAGAGAGAAATGGGCTGTAGGAAAGTCAAATTCAGTTGTTGTTTTTTTGTGAGAAAAGTGTACCTGTTCATCTCTCTGTTTCCACTCCTGCCAGTTCTCCTGGGGCTTGGCGCCACGCTGGACAGCTGCCGGGCTGATCAGATCATTCGCTAAATCCTGCAGCGTGAGGGAGGGAGGTGCCGTACACTTCTGAGGGATCTTCTTAAAAGCAAGACTCCTGAGCTACAGCGTGTGACGACAAAGACTCTTTGTAAGTAGACATTTTGCTGAAGGTGACTTCAGCCCAAAACATACCCACTACTACACCACCCTCTTCACATATAAGGATGTTAGAAATGTCAACACTGACTCATCATCATTGTTGTTTTCAGAAACAAACGTGGGGCCCAACAGCCTTTTTAGAAAAACAGACAAATGGACAGACAGATAGATAGAAAAACAGACAGACAAGTCAAGTCAAGTCAAATATATTTATATAGCGCTTTTCACAATACAGATTGTATCAAAGCTGCTTCACAGTATCAATCAAAACAACCTAAGAGTGTTTGTTTATTACTGGAAAAAAGACATCCAAGTTTGGTAGAGCTAGTCAATGGTATGATGGGTCATTTAATTTGAAAATCCCCAAACTGAGCAAGCCAAAGGCAACAGTGGCAAGGAACCGAAAAACTCCGTCAAGTGACCTGATGGTGTCCTAAAACTCCATCAGATGACCCGACAGAGAAAAAAAAAAACCTTGGGAGAACCCCGACTCAGTCGGGGCCAGTTCTCCTCTGGCGTTTATGAAGTAGAGGCCGAATTTACAGTAACTGTAAGATAAAAAATGTATATGAATGCCTGACTAAAAAGATGGGTCTTTAGTCTAGTTTTAAACTGGGAGAGCGAGTCTGAGCAACGAACAATATCAGGAAGGCTATTCCAGAGTTTTGGAGCTAAATGTGAAAATGCTCTCCCTCCTTTGGTGGATCTGGATATCCTAGGAATGACCAGAAGCCTCGAATTTAGTGATCTTAAAGAGCGCGATGGATTATAGGGCGATAGAAGATCCGTTAAATAGACTGGAGCTAAACCATTTAGAGCTTTATAGGTCAAAAGCAATACCTTGTAATTAATACGGAACTTTATAGGTAACCAATGAAGTGACGATAAAATCGGTGTTATATGATCATATTTTCTTGATCTAGTAAGAACTCTAGCGGCTGCATTTTGGACTAAATGTAGCTTATTTATTGAGGATGCAGTAAGACAGAGAGATGACAGACAGATAGAAAAACAGATAGATAGATAGATAGATAGATAGATAGATAGATAGATAGACAGATAGACAGATAGACAGATAGACAGATAGACAGATAGACAGACAGATAGATAGATAGATAGATAGATAGATAGATAGATAGATAGATAGATAGATAGATAGATAGATAAACAGACAGAAATGACAGACAGATAGATAGATAGATAGATAGATAGATAGATAGATAGATAGATAGATAGATAGATAGATAGATAGATAGATAGATAGATAGATAGATAGATAGATAGATAGATAGATAGATAAACAGACAGATAGATAAACAGACAGAAAAACAGATAGATAGATAGATAGATAGATAGATAGATAGATAGATAGATAGATAGATAGATAGATAGAAAAACATAATAAAACAGATAGACAGATAGACAGATAGAAAAACAGACACAGAGAGATGACAGACAGATAGACAAACAGATAGATAGATAGATAGATAGATAGATAGATAGATAGATAGATAGATAGATAGATAGATAGATAAACAGACAGATAGATAAACAGACAGAAAAACAGATAGATAGATAGATAGATAGATAGATAGATAGATAGATAGATAGATAGATAGATAGATAGATAGAAAAATATAATAAAACAGATAGACAGATAGACAGATAGAAAAACAGACACAGAGAGATGACAGACAGATAGACAAACAGATAGATAGATAGATAGATAGATAGATAGATAGATAGATAGATAGATAGATAGATAGATAGATAGATAGATAGACAGAAAGAGAGATAGATAAACAGACAGAGAGATAGATAAACAGACAGATAGATAGATAAACAGACAGATAAACAGACAGATAGATAGATAAACAGACAGAGAGATAGATAAACATAAACAGACAGAGAGATAGATAAACAGACAGAGAGATAGATAAACAGACAGATAGATAGATAAACAGACAGATAGATAGATAAACAGACAGATAGATAGATAAACAGACAGATAAATAGATAAACAGACAGATAAACAGACAGATAGATAGATAAACAGACAGAGAGATAGATAAACATAAACAGACAGAGAGATAGATAAACAGACAGAGAGATAGATAAACAGACAGAGATAGATAAACAGACAGATAGATAGATAAACAGACAGATAAACAGACAGATAGATAGATAAACAGACAGAGAGATAGATAAACATAAACAGACAGAGAGATAGATAAACAGACAGAGAGATAGATAAACAGACAGAGAGATAGATAAACAGACAGAAAAACAGATAGATAGATAGATAGATAGATAGATAGATAGATAGATAGATAGATAGATAGATAGATAGATAGATAGATAGATAGATAGATAGATAGATAGATAGATAGATAGATAGATAGATAGATAGATAGATAGAAAAACAGATAATAAAACAGATAGACAGATAGATAGAAAAACAGACAGAGAGATGACAGACAGATAGACAAACAGATAGATAGATAGATAGATAGATAGATAGATAGATAGATAGATAGATAGATAGATAGATAGATAGATAGATAGATAGATAGATAGATAGATAGATAAACAGACACAGAGAGATGACAGACAGATAGACAAACAGATAGATAGATAGATAGATAGATAGATAGATAGATAGATAGATAGATAGATAGATAGATAGATAGTTAGTTAGAGACAGACAGATAGATAGACAGATAGACAGAAAGATAGATAGATAAACAGACAGATAGATAGATAAACAGACAGATAGATAGATAAACAGACAGATAGATAGATAAACAGACACAGAGAGATGACAGACAGATAGACAAACAGATAGATAGATAGATAGATAGATAGATAGATAGATAGATAGATAGATAGATAGATAGATAGATAGATAGATAGATAGATAGATAGATAGATAGATAGATAGAAAAACAGATAATAAAACAGATAGACAGATAGATAGAAAAACAGACAGAGAGATGACAGACAGATAGACAAACAGATAGATAGATAGATAGATAGATAGATAGATAGATAGATAGATAGGTAGATAGATAGATAGATAGATAGATAGATAGATAGATAGATAGATAGATAGATAGATAGGTAGATAGATAGATAGATAGATAGATAGATAGATAGATAGATAGATAGATAGATAGATAGATAGATAGATAGATAGATAGATAAACAGACACAGAGAGATGACAGACAGATAGACAAACAGATAGATAGATAGATAGATAGATAGATAGATAGATAGATAGATAGATAGATAGATAGATAGATAGATAGATAGATAGTTAGTTAGAGACAGACAGATAGATAGACAGATAGACAGAAAGATAGATAGATAAACAGACAGATAGATAGATAAACAGACAGATAGATAGATAAACAGACACAGAGAGATGACAGACAGATAGACAAACAGATAGATAGATAGATAGATAGATAGATAGATAGATAGATAGATAGATAGATAGATAGATAGATAGATAGATAGATAGATAGATAGATAGATAGATAGATAGATAGATAGATAGATAGACCTCATTGGCTTCACTCTGCTGCTGTTCCTTCTTTCGTCTTCTCTTCTCTTTCTTTTTGTCTGTATTTTGGTTGGTCTTCCCGCTGGGAGATTTCCCCGAGCGAGGCTTCCCTGCTCCACGACCTGCCTTTGTCTTTCCTGCATCCGAATCAGTGTCCGAATCCGAGTCGACCTGCAGCAGAGCGAAGCGTGACGCCGTGGTGGGCACTGAGATCACTGTTGATGCCATCCTGAACCTGCCAACGGGACAACCAACACATGATGCCTGTATATTAGTGTGAGACAGTTCAGTTCAGTGCTGCTGGGCTCTGGGACCAAGACAGAGAAACATTGATATATCATGTTCTTATTTGTAACTGTTTATTTTAAGTTATGTTATAATATCTTCTTCTATTATTTTGATGTCTTTACTATTATTATTATTATTGTCATATATTCCAAGCTTTTGCAATACTCCATTATCTACAATTATGCCAATAAAGCAATTTTGAATTTTAAATATCATAAATAGCATTCAAGAATCAGTGCAATGTAACAGTTAACACACTGAGAATAACTCTTTACGCACAATATATGAACCTGTTAATATAATACACTCAAATACACAAAGCCATCTTTAATCTGTAGGCTATTGCTCATTGAAAAACATAAATCTGTTTGCTGCAGTTAATAGCACTTATCAATTAACGTTATAAGGCGTAGTAAGTCGGTTGGTGCTGGATTCGTGAATATAGCGCTCGATATTTATTCGTTGTTATATATATTTTAGTCTATTCAAAATGAACTGCCTAGATAGACTGCAGATTTGGTTATTACATCATTTGACACCTAAAATGTCGCTAGCTTAGACTTTTTTTTTTTAGCTCGCCAGTGCTGAACACACAAGTAACAAACGAGCCCCTCATTTTTCCTGAACATGTTTCACCCAGTCTAACATGTCTTGTGTAACTTAAACCTGCCGGACTTTTGAGAGGAGGCGCCGTTAAAATGAACTAAACAAACTTTCACCTGGTTAAGAGGACTGTCGGTCTCTTCGTCTTCGTGCTGTAAACTGCAAACACAGACGAGTGTATGGCGGCCTGAACGGACACAAAAGCTTCAATGCTACCATGCATTGAGTGGAAAACTGTTAATAACCGGTGATATAGTAGTACTGACTCCAGAGGGCGCTCTGCGGCTCGGCGAGCAGAAACTCCTTTAAAACGCGTTCAGATATCAGGATTGTTTGTGTCACTGCGACATTTGTATCCTAAAACGTATTTAAATATATGAATGTATATGCCTGACACATAGTAGTACCTGCCACAGCAATCTATAGAATTATTTAATAAACGTTTTATCCTGTAATCACAAATTACTGTGAAAAAAAGTCTATCCTAATCAACGATGAGAAAAGCCATGCATATCACGTGACAACGCCAAATGATAATTCAGCAGAGGTCTCGAAAATAATTTAAACCTGAATAATGACACAGGGTAACTTTTAAACATCCAAATTAAATGACACAAGAAGTCAAAAACTCAAAACAGATTCCTGACCCAGAAACACCGTCCACAGCCAAGCCCCAAAATCTTATTTTGTTTAATGAAATACTACAGTATTATAATTATAATTTAAGCCTATTTATCTGTGCAGATTTCCCCCCTCTTTTTTTATTAATGTGCCTCATAATCTTTGATAAACATAACTTCCCCTCTGCAGCAACATCTCTTGCATCTCTTTACTGACGCAAGGGCGGGACAACCTGTCACTCACATGAGATCTATTTTAGTGTCACTCCTTCGTTGCTGTAATCAATTTGCAACCTCAAACCCCAGCCAAGAAGGTGGAGTTGATGGAGAAATGCCAAAGAACTGTCATAGGACAGATGTAGGCAGTGGAACCCTTATTCTGGCACTGATTGGTCCGATTAAATGAACATGATCCCCACAAACTTTTGTTAAGAACTCCATTACATCTTTTGAGTGAGTTGTTGAATTATTCAATCAATAGATTAATTGAAACCAATGATTCATTCAGGAATAAAGCGACGTTATTGTGTATTGCTCTGAGGTTCTCAACATGATTATTCTGATGACAGTAATGTTTCAAATCTACGTTACTCAATACTTCTTGTTGAAAATGTAGTATTGACTGTTGTGTTGATATATAGGCATAATGACTGTTTCCCCTCTATTCTCTTGTTAACAAAAGGATTTATACCAAATGTAAATCACCACCTCTTCATAACTTTATTTAAAGGTATAAACAGAACGATACAAAAAAGAACGTGGAAAAAGATGATGATGCTGTCAATAGTAGATGCAGCGAGTGTGATGTATTGGAATATGTGCCATTTCTTTGTGGTGTTTTTTAGCATATGGCCACAGGTAAAAATCAATAAGAGCAGAGTTGATGTGACAGCTCTTCCCATCTCTCTCCTCCACAAGCTTCCACAGATGGTGTCGGATTCTCTCCACACACCAGATGGAGCAACCCCGGATCTCCACCTCTCGTCTCTCACCGGAGCTCAACAATTCACCTGTGAAACAACTAATCATCACTACAACAATACTGCCAAGAGCATCTGTCTATCATGTAAGGATTCATCTCACAAAACCTGCCTGAGCAAAACTAAAGATATTTTTTTGTGAAATTCACTCATAATCACATGGATGTTGGAGTCTTTCAAACTGGACAAAGGTGTGTTAAAGATTTAACAAAAAATGTCCAGACTAAATAAGTAGGACTACTATAATAAAGGCACAACAAACCGTTTTTCAGTGTCTTCATTAGGGCATCAGAGTAGCGTAAAGCCCCAAGGTACACGAGGCCTTGTGGTACCCTGTAGTCAGCAAACATGGTCAGGTAGTCAAGGTTCGGGATGTTCCCCTCCCCTCGGGCCTCCATGATGCCCCACACGTCCGCCACAAGGATTTGAGCCCTCTTGTGAAACGAGATCCTCTTACCCTACAACAACAACAAAATATGACATATGTCATGACGTGGTACACCTTACTTTTAAAAAGAGCGCTTATTACAGAAATAATATACTTTATTATAGTTCCCCTATTATGCTTCTTTTCAGATATTAGCTTTCATAAAGCGTGTTATAGCTGTCTGTGAATGTAAAAGTTCAAAGTGAACGACAAATAAAGCTATTTTCTCCTAAAAGAAAGAATCGATTCTGAACTGCCGAAATGAGTCATGAGTAATTCAGTTCTTACTTCCCGTAGGTTTGTAACATTTGAGTAATGCCAGCCTATGGTCTTTATTGGCTGCCCACAAACTATTAATCTACTTTGACCCGGCATCAAACACTAGTTGTGGCTGGAAAGATGGAGAAGATGCTGTTTGCTGCACTTCTAAAGGACGAGGACTCCCGCTGGAATGGATACGGTAAAGCCAACACCATCGTTACTGTTCGACGTATCAGTGTATCAAGCGCTGAGAAACATCCAGAGCTGAAATTCAGATATGGTAATGGAGGTTTCGTTTCCGACATGTGCTGTAAGCGATGGACCAATCACAACAGACTGGGCCATTTGACCAATCAGAGTAGAGCAGCTCTCAGAAGGGAGGGGTTAGAGAGACTGAATCTTCAAACAAACCGTTTTCAGAAATGAGGCTATGTGCAATGTATTATGAGAACAATGAAGTGTTGTTTGATCTTGGGTGCATGTAATGTAAACCTATTTTAGGACACCCTTAAAAAATAAAATGAGGAGCCTTTAAAATAGCATAAGGGACACTTTAAAAAAGAATATACTTCAGTACAAAGACTAAATGTAATATTTCCAGACTCTTAATTGCATATTGTTTGCAATTTATTGAAAATGTATTGTAGTTTACATTTATATTAAATGCAATTAGTTGAACTTAAGAGTGCTTTTTTGAAGTAGGACTTCAGTACTTTATGTCATTCCATAACCACTTCTATTGTTTTTGAAATATGGATAATGCCAAATGTACCGACAATCATTTGATCCCAACTAAATGTAAAGTAATTTCTATTTAAACTGTATTTTCATACATATTTGAAATTTACACATTTATAATGATAGAGTTAAAAAAATAAAGTACTTTACATTTTCTATAGTTTGTTAGTAAACACATAAGTGTACATATTTAAAGAGGACTTGTGCTTTTTAACTTTATTATGTAATGTTGCTGTTTGAGCATGAAAAACGTCTGCAAATTTAGAAAGCACAAAGTCACTAGTTATTCTCTATATCAGTGTCCCTGTTTCTGAACTCCTTGAAACGCCTCCATTGTAGTCTTGTAGTAGTTTTTTTCTGGGAACGAACACAATATCCCTCATTTAAATAATTCCCGTCCAAGGCATAAGCAAAAAAGGGGTGAGGCCTGATTGAGTTAGTTAGTAGTGTGTTGAAACTCACGCAAGGAGGAGCTTCATAGAGACAGGAACTAAACAGGGGTGCGTTTCCTAAAGCCAACTATGGTCGCAAGTTCCGTCGTTACCAATAGAGTTCAATGGAAATTGCGATCATAGTTGGATAACGATGCTTTCGGGAAACGCACTCCAGAGTGTTACTGACAGACTTGGAAGAGAGGAGCTGCAACAATGTCAAACATGTGAAAAATAAGTTGAACATTCAAACATGAAAATCTATTCTTAGTAGACTGCAAAAACCAAATCAAGACTTTTGAAAAGGGGTCTTCTTTAAAGCACAACAAAAGTTTGTGAAAAGTGTACATCAGGTACACTTAAGTGACCTTTTATTTCATTAAAATTATATTTGAAAGGACAGTTTTTCTTAAATACACTTTTAAGATTTGAAGTACACTACAAGTGCACATTCAACACACTTATTTTTCACAAGGCATCTAACATGCAAGTGAAAGCTAAGCAAGTTTAACTAAAGTTCTTCGAAAGCCATGCTTTAAATGGCTAAACTGAAATTGTACTATTGATTTCAAATGTTTGATGTGAATATTTTTACCTCATACGTGGCTTCATCTCTGTATGACGGTATATTCTGAACAATATACTTCACCATCCTCTCTGCATCATTCTCACAATGACTCATGAACATCTGGAAGGATCCACCATTCTCCATGAGCACTCGTCCGGCCTCTGTTAGCGCCTGGTGACGCTCTTTCAGCATGGGCATGCTAGCAGCGCTGTCTGAACGCAGGACTTTCGCCAGCTGGGCCTCACTGATCTGAGAGAAGTAGGCAGGGCTTGTAATGGGCACTCCTAAATAAAGATATCACATACACATATCATAGAGTTGAACTTTCACAGTCCATAAAAAGTATTCTTATAAAATGAACAGGATGTAAATTCAGAGAGATACACTATATTGCTAAAAGTTTTGGGACGTCTGCCTTTACATGCACATAACCTTTAAAGACATCCCATTCTTAATCTTAATCTTAATCTTAATATGGAGTTGGCGCACCCTTTGGAGCTATAGCAGCTTCAACTCTTCTGGGAAGGCTTTCCACAAGGTTTAGGAGTGTGTTTATGGGAATTTTCGACCATTCTGCTAGATGCGCATTGGTGAGGTCAGGCGCTGATGTTGGACGAGAAGACCTGGCTCACAGTCTCCCCTCTAATTCATCCTAAAGGTGTTCTGTCGGGTTGAGCTCAGGACTCTGTGCCAGTCAAGTTCCTCCACACCAAACTCGCTCATCCATGTCTTTATGGACCTTGCTTTGTGCACTAACCCCTGAAAAACCATAGATATCCATAATAAAGGCTAGATGTCTCGTCCGCGCTGCTGGCCAATGGAGGTCGACGTCCGCACCTGGCGGCCATCTTGTCACAGGCAGCTCGCTCACTCGTAACATTGTGTTTTAATGGTGCATGTACTTTTTAAATAACCATAACTTGCTCAATTTTCTACCGATTTTCAAACGGTTTGGTTTGTTATAAACGTCAAAAACGTAAATCATCCAGAATTATAGCCACGTTAATAACGTTTGTAAGAAACCAAACCGTTTGTAAACCCGTCAAGATTTCAACGAGATAAGAGTATTTGTGTTCGTGCTGATCACTCATCTTACATCAGGCACCACAGAGCCCGCCAGAAAGCTTGCCTGTGACAAGATGGCCGCCGGTGATGACGATAGAGACTCTGCCGTAAGACATCTAGCCTTTATTATGGATATCTATGTGAAAAACAACCCCACACCATAATCCCCCCTACACTTTGCACAATGCAGTCAGGCAAGTACCGTTCTCCTGGCAACCGCCAAACCCAGACTCGCCCACCGGATTGCCAGACAGAGAAGCGTGATTCGTCACTCCACGTCTCTAGAACACGTCTCCACTGCTCTAGAGTCCAGTGGCGGCGTGCTTTACACCACTGCATCCCATGCTTTGCATTGTACTTGGTGATGTAAGGCTTGGATGCAGCTGCTCGGCCATGGAAACCCATTCCATGAAGCTCTACGCACTGGTGTTCAGCTAATCTGAAGGCCACACGAAGTTTGGAGGTCTGTAGCTATTGACTCTGCAGAGAGTTGGCGACTTCTGCTCACTGTGCGCCTCAGCTTGCGCTGACCCCGCTCTGTGAATTTACGTGGCCTGTCATTCCTAATTGCTTCCACTTTGTTATAATACCATTAACAGTTGATCGTGGAATATTTAGTAGTGAGGAAATTTCACGAATGGACGTATTGCCCAGGTGGCAACCTATCAACCGCTTGAATTCACTGAGCGGTTGACATCTTTCACAAATGTTTATAGAAGCGTCTGCATGCATAGGTGCTTCATTTTATACAACTGTGGCCATGGAAGTGATTGGAACACCTGAATTCAATGATTTGGAGGGGTGTCCCAATACTTTTGGCAATATAGTGTACATATTCAGTCACCTTCATCCATAGCCCTGGTCACAGCAGCACAGAGAGACATGTACCCTCGATAGGTGTTTCCCCTACACGTGACCTCACACTGTTCCTCCTCCTTCTCAGGCCAGAAGGAGAAGTTCAAGGTGTCTGTCACAAACACCCAGTTGATGGCATCATCTGAGTCTGGTGAAGGTGCCAGCGGATTCATCTTTTTCCAGCCGCTGGCTGTGAATTCTTCACTTTCACGGAGCTCATAAATCATCTGCGCCACACGTTTAACACCATCTTCATCCACAAACACATCTCGACTCCGCTCGGCCACAAACTGACCAGACTCTCGAGGGGACAGTGGCTCCTCCATTGTTTTCTGTTTTGGGAAGAAACATTTTGAGACTCTATGTTCACAACTGAATACTTAAAGCTGAACTGAATTGTGTTGGATAATGAAACCACTGTACTTCTGCAGTGCTGCTTTACAGCCAATTCAACATTGTTTCATAATTGACAAATTTTGCAACATCGACACTGTTATTGAACTTAGGTGAATCAACATTGAACTGACTCAAACTGAATAACAACACTATTGTCTTCTGTAGAGCTGCTCATAGCCAGTGCTGGATGGATTACTTCTAGATTCCTAATTACATGACAAAAATCCATTACATTGCACATTTTAGGTAATATAATCTGACTACGTTTTAGATTACTTTTGACCTAACTCGTTTATCACATTTAATTGAATAGGTTAATATTGTACCAAATTGATATAAAAATACAAGGAGAAAGAAAATACATTCCATTCTTTGTTATCAACAATATAAAGTGCACTAAAAATTACTTTATGTCAGGGTTTCCCAGACTGGGGTTCGTGATGGAACTGCAGGAGGTTTGTGAATTTAATAAAAAGCTATTTATTAATTACATTTTAAAATTAAAAAAGTAAACTGTAGTCTGAATACAAGTATTTTAAATTTGTATATAATCTAATTACAAGTACTTAATTTTTGGAATCTGATTAAGTAATTCGGATTACATGTATTCAGTTACTACCTGCACTGCTTATAGCTGAATCAAACTCATTTCATAATTGATGAACTTTACACAGTTATTGAACTGAACTGAATCAACACTGAATAATTACACTATTGTCTTTTTTAGAGCTGATTCACTGCAGAATTGAACTCTGTTTGCAGCGTTCATAATTTTCCTGTTTATCCCTGTAAAGTTGATTTGAAAAAATCTGTATTGTATAAAGCACTATATATAAATAAAGGTGACTTGACTTTTGCCAAGTAGGGAAAAAATAGTATGGAAGTCAATGGGTGCCGTCAACTGTCTGGTTTCCAACATTCTTCAAAATATCTTCTTTTGTGTTCAGCAGAAGAAAGAAACTCATACAGATTTGGAACAACTTGAGGGTGAGTAAATGATGACAACATTTTCATGTTTGGGTGAACTATCCCTTTAATGCACAGGTCATCTGAATATTCCATGCATACAGGAAAGTTATACTACTGCAGAAATTGAGTAGTAGCCTATGCTATTCCATCTTTGTGTTATTAAAAAAATTAATCATTAGCAATTGAATCGTTCTTTTAAAATGTTTCAGATGTCTCAATCCTTATTTTATGACCATTTTGCAACAGTTGTAATATTTATCATAATTCTAAAATTCTAATTTCTAGAAACTTGCATTCTGTGCCTCTTTAAATTGTACTTACTGAAAAGCCCGTGTCCAAAAATCGTCCTTTTTAAATCGTGTAATCGAGCAATTTTCAGACCTGCTGGAATACAAGTTAACGTTACAGTATTAGTGAGGAGAGAGAGAAGGAGGGTCTGTGTGAGAATGTCTCTTGGTAACGTACAAAGTACATAATGCTGTTTATTTACTGCAGATTTACTGCCTTTTCTCCTCGCAAGTAAACCTATTGCACATAGTAACAATTTGAATTTGGAAATAAACCCGCTGTAGCTTTTAATTTCCATGTTCGCCAAGCAAACGTTAGTTACCTCTTACCTCTTGTTTTAATGCTAGAACTCGAGCTATCAGTTTCTTCCCAGTTCCCACTTCTGAAATCGTGATTTGAGCTCATCGCATTCAAATTTTGACTTGAGAGGGCGTTCATGTCCTGTTTTTTTAACTAGGAAACTATAGTTCCGATAGCACGTGAAGGCAGCAACATCATGCGGATTTTGTCTGGCCGTTCTGGCTTCAAGCTGATTATAGATGCGCAAAAATGCGCAAACATATTATTTCGGGTAACGTTAGTTGGAATGTTGCTATAAAACAAAACAAATTTAGTTTGCCATCTATACAGAGTAGTTTTTGTACAATGTGTAAAATTACTGTTTGTTCCTTACTGTTATTGTGAAGCGTCCACCTTGAGCTTGGGAAATATGCTATATAACGTTAAATACATATAATAATAGTTACACAACTTTGTAAAACAATATCTAAACTTTAGCACAAACAAGGTGTGAAGCCATCAAGATTACTGTCGACCAAAGTGCAAAAGTGTCTGAGGCAACCATTTAACTTCACATTTTGCAAGGCCTGCATAAATGTTAAGAGAAAATGGAGTAAGAACACAGGACAACATTTTTAATGTAGCTACTGCAATAGGTTAAATATTGTTTTTGAGTAATATAGCTTACTACCACTACATATTAGGCACATATGTGAATATATATTTTAAATATAATATACAACATACTATTAAAATAAAACAGCCAGTTATATATTTATTTTAGAATTAAGTAGTCTGTAAATCAGTCTCATTTAGATTTCTGAAAATACACACACATGTTGGTATTTTTATTTTATTTTTTTAAATGTTTGTCCAGGCATGATCATTTTAATTTTATATAAGGGATTGGACATTAACTGTACTACTGACACGGTTTAATAATCAAACCACACTGAAAAAAAACGGCAATTCCTTTATTATTTCAGACAAATGACAAACTCTACAAATGTGCCTGGTTGAAGAACTTCAGAGAAAATTTGAGTAAAAAAATAAAGATAAGAAAAATAAAACAAAGAAAGGGAGAGTGAGAATTACCATCCTGCTCTGACACAAATATAGTCTAAAACTTCTAATCCACTTGTGTTTTCTTTTCTTATTAAAAAGAAAAACACACACAATGATTGTGAGCCTTCTTTTAGGATGGCAGACCTACAAAAAATTCCAGAGGTAGAGTACTTTTTTTATTTTATTTTTAAAACACTAGATTTTAAAAACCCAGCAACAGACAGGAGACAAGACATAAAAAAAAAAAAAAAAAAAAGTACTGCAAGCCTTCAGTACCTGGTGAAAATATCTGTATTTCTGAGGAAACCATCACACGAATGAAACAGTGTAAAGGATATATTCATATGTCCATAGTAATCATTGGATATTTACATTTTATTTTCTATCAAATGCAGTTAGAACACTCAGAAGTAAAAAAAAAAAAAAAAAAAAAGGCGGTAAGTTTGCGGGGTGTGAATGCGTACATTCTGGATCAAGCTTTTGGAATAGTGGAACATTTTCCTTACCCATAAAACCTTCACTCCAAAAGGGAAAATACAACAACAACGTCCTGTTGAAAAGCAGCTATCTGCTCATCCAAGATTTCTGAGAAGCGATAGTTGGCCCGTATAAAATTAATATAAAAACAACCAAAAGAAAGAACAATCCCACAAAATCCACAATCAAGGACAACCAGAGGGCTCGGGCTCGTATGATTCTATGAGGGATTAATATAAAGGTGGCAGACAGGGATGTGTCAGGCCATCACGCGGGGACGAGGACTTCAGCTGCAGTTGGATGGATATCCTGAGAAGGGCTGGTTAGTTCTGGCGTCCCAAGAGGTGTAGAGCGCTGAAGAACAGAGAGAAGATCAGTCAGCAACATAATGCTTCAGTCCACTGTGACGTGATCATCATTCTGTGACATACCTGTTCTGTAACAGGTACTGGGCGTTCTGGATCTGGTCTTGGGTTCCTGTGATGGTGATGATGCGGTCCTCTGAACCCTGTAGGGGCTCGTCGATTTTGATAGACGCTCCAGACTCGTGACGAATCTGCTTGATCCTCTGACCCCCTTTACCGATGATGGATCCGGCCAGCTGAGAATCACAGCAGGGGTTAAATACACGTTTCATGTGTAAATCGTATCGTTTCAGGAGTGCTTTACTCACATCTTTAGGAATAGTCACTTGTGTGGTGATCACAGGCCCTTCACTGTAACTACTCCTTCCACCTGAGCATAAGGAGAGAGTGAAATGTATCATAATGGGAGATTTATGAAGGAGTCTATATGAATTATGGCCTCTATAGCCTGGGACACACCAAGCCGATGGTCGGCCAATGACGGCTTGTTTTTGAGCGTTGGTCTGCGTAGTTTTCTTTCAGTGTTCAGCACCGTTGGCTCTAGTCGGACACCGCTGGTGGTTTTACGCCCAATTCTGCGTGTCAAATCAGCGGCAGAGCTTGTAGGTGAGAGCGATCACTCTGATTGGCTGTTCAGCTTAGTGAATTAGCAAACAAAAAAATAAAATGGAACTGACAAAAGCAAATAAACGACGGAGGAAAGAGGGAACACTCCAGACACTTGCCATTTCATCTCATTTGAACAGTGAATTATTTTAATAATAACATGGCTTTGTGGAATCAAGACGTTGAAGCTATACTGGTGTAAACTGGTAAATTGCTGCTTGCTTTGTATTTCCACAGTTCTTGCTCGTCCAGTTTCCCTTTTCGAACACAGACTACTTCCACAAGCTGCTATGGGAGAGTGTGTCCTCTCACGCAGGTGCCTATTCTGTGCAGTGTTCAAGCGCAACCTTTTTGCCCCGACGCCAGTCGGCTTTCATCAGCGCTAGTTCTTTGCCATGGGTTTGGTGTGTCCCTATCTTATTATAACAGGGTGCCGTACTTACCAGACTGATAGGAGGAATCCCAAGATGAATTATTGTCTGATTTGAGAAACACAAAAAGAAAAAGTAAATTATCAGTGGTTCCCAGCCTTTCCCAACTCACGGCCCACTGCAAGAATTTTAACGGACATGAAAAACTCTGCTGTTTTGAACGGTTAGTGGATTCTGGCTAACTTAAACACCTCTGATTGGCCATTGCGTTCCAGAAATTAACATTGCTCAACACTGCAAAAAAATGTCCTGCACTGTATGTCGGGCTAAAAAGAAAAATGTTTCAAACAGAGATCAGGCTTGACTTCAAGCCTATTCCGGTCAAATAATGTGTAAAGTAAAACTAAAATAAGCTAAATAATGTAAATCTTCATTGCTGCTTGTTCTCCGCTAACACACATGTGAAGACTGCGCTAGGTAGTCGCTACTGTATTTTCTTCGCTCAGCTATATTTTTAGTATTTTTGATGTCAGGCGTTGCTGCAGATTTATCCTTACTTGTAGACGGAGAAACATCTGCATTTGTCCTTTTCAGCGACCCTGTTGATAACCATTTATCCATGTTTAAAACGGTTGTAGCCTACAGTAACTATATGCAGCAAAATTATGGTAGATAAGCTGGTGGTTTATTCTTAACCAAACAGTGAGCTTAAATATTGAACACACAGTGAAAGTTTAATGTTTGTTATTTCATTTTATATTGAATCATATTTAATAAGACATTTTTACATGTATTAAAATTTTTTTTTTTTTATTAATAGTCAATGGCAGCCCACTGCATTATTAAAAACCACCCCTGTACAGTAAGATATGTAAATTGGGCCACTCTTTTGATAGTCTTGAATGTCAAAAAGTGTCCCGGTTTACTTGAATTAACTCAGTAAATATTTAAATATACAGAGCCCCTAAAAGGACATGGTGATGGTTAAAAAAAAAACACGTATACATATGTATTTTTTTTTTCAATGCTTTTGCATTCAATCAAAAAAAACATTTTCCTATCTCCAAGAAACTTTGTTCACTCGCAAAACTTTTGTGATGGAAATATGTCGTGGAAGAAAAAATATATATATCAGTGAATGCAGAGTTTCTAAGGGGAATGCAAGTTTCTCAACAGAAAAACTAGCATCATTAAGAGATGATGATTCATGATGATGATTAAGAGAATGCTTTTTTTTTTTTTGGTGAGAGAAAGGAAAAGCAGTGAAATATAATTTCCCCTTCAATCTAATTCAAACAGCATGCAACACATAAAATTGTGGTTAGTTGCTTCACACACAGTCAGATACTCTTGTCTAAGTGTGCAGTACTCAGCCAGAAGTCAGATAGTTAGTCAGATAGTTTCTAAAACGTTTCAAAGACTTTGGTGAGACTGAAAGGTGACAAAAGGGTGAAACATTTTCCAAAAAAAAATATATATATATTTCAAATGCAAAGAAATGAAACACATTTAAAGAAAAACTTACCATATCCATCATTCTGTAAAGCAAGAGAGACAGAACAGAAGGGTTAGAATCAAAAACCTCAAACACAAATGTTTGAAGGCAACTTACAGAAAACAATGTGTCCCTCTCTTTATTTCCAAGGCACCTAGCTACTCAAACATCATCTGCTACCAGGCAACAGTTGAGCTGCTGTTTTAGATGCTATTGTTAAGGAAAATTAAAGTCAGCATGAAACGGAAATTGTGATGTACATAAGATATGTATATGTATTTTGGCTTCTCAAAAGATAAAAGATGTGTAGGGCAGTATTTGATTTTGTCAATCTGGAATTTATTAGATCACTGTAGTTTACTAATTGCTGCAAATGTTTTATGCAAGTCTGACCGAAAAAATTATTGCTGGAGAATTGAAACTCATCTGTCCATTTGACAACCTCATTGAAGAGATGTGGCAGCAAGCAGGTGGGCATGTTAATGTTTTTGATTAAGTATTACAAGGGCAATTTTTTTTAATTAAAACTATGTGCACAGATTTTAATTAACTTTTAGTAATAATAATCATAATATAATACATTTTTAAAGGGGGGGGGGGGGGGGGGGGGGTTGAGAATTGGCCATTTTTCATTGTGAATAATTGGCATGGCCTTTGGTTTTTAAAATGTAGATTGAGTCATTTCTTGAAACTGAACCATCAGAAATTGCAAAAAACTGAATACTGACCATGCTTCCTCCATAACGATCATTGCGTCCTCGTCTTTCCCCACT